TTTTGCTTTTTTTTTTTTTTTTTTTTGTTTTCTTCTTTTCTGTCCGTAATGATACCACCTCGTCTCATTTGCATAGATAGCATGGTATGAATGAAAAGGAAGTCGCTTTTTTTTGTGTGTGTTTTTCTGCTGTTTTATTTTCAAATTAAAGAGATCGTTGAAGCATCGTTTGTGCTTTGACAATTTTGTTTATCACTTCCCAAAACTGGCAAAAAATCGGATGACAACTCCGCTAGCGTGAGCCACCGCCCGAGCATCTCGGAACGAACCGTTTTGTTGTGCATTGACGTTTGACATCATCGTGGAGCAGTAGCTAGCATCTTGGTGTTTTCGGAAAGCGGAGGAGAGCACCGAATCACGATGACAACTTAATATGATGCTGCCAGTTCGTTGCGCAAGCACGAAATGATAACTTCCAAGTCAAATCAAGATATAACAAAGTGATTTTATTCATGACTGTATGCTTACGATTCCAGCGCCAGATTCTTGAAGCCCACACCCGAAACTAGTCTACCTGGTCTTCTATAGCAGCCACCAACTGTATCCGATTGAATAGACTTTGTTTGTTCGTTTACCATTTGTCTTTGTATAGATTTTAACCAAAACCGGGAAAGACAGAGACATGAATGAGGAGAGAGATATATAGAAATTGAGATGAGATGAACGATCTATGAAAAAGAAGAAAACAAAACATTTATTGACATGACAAAAACTTGAAGCCCCGTTTGACCTTTTTCCATACACTATATCGTGGCCCGTTGCCTACCACCACCATTGCCACCTCGGCCGCCGCCGCCGCCGTTGTATCCTTGATAATACTGTCATTTGGTATCACATCCGTCATTTCAACATGCCTATCCACATTAGCATCATCCTTACTCCTGCACCGACATGTTGCGGGGAGGCCTCGCATTCGCAGCAGCCACGTAATGACCCCAGGTGATGAGCTCCTTACTGCAGTCATCCTGATCAATCGTGCACTCGATCAGCGTAGGACCCTCCTTGTGGCTCTCAGCCACCTTGATAGCGTCAGCGAGCTCGCCGGCCGTGTTGGCCAGCAGGCCCTTTGCGTGGCCGTCGGTGCTGTTGAAGGCCTCCACCAACATGGCGTAGTCCCAGTTCTTGATCTTGTTGTAGGAACCGTCGTGGATCTCGACCTCGATCGTGTAGCCGCGGTTGTTGATGAGCATGATGGTGATGGGCACCTTGAAGCGCACCATCTGCGACACCTCCTGGGCCGTCACCTGGAAAGATCCGTCGCCGACCAGCACAATGGTGTGCCTGTCAGGGTGGCGCAAGGCGTAGCCAAAGGCCGCAGGGATCGACCAGCCGATGTGGCCCCATTGCATCTCGATCTCGAACTTGGCGCCAGGAGGAAGCTTCAGCTGGATGCCGTTGAACCACGAGTCGCCCGTGTCAACGAACAGGCTGGTCTTGTCTGTCAACATCTCCTGCACCTGTCGCGAGATCTCCTTGCGCGAGAGCGGCTCCTCGCGTTCGGCCGTGTGCACGTGCGGGGGGTCAGGCTTGAGGCGCTTGTACTCGATCATTGTGGAGTCGTTGAAGGTGACCTGGGTGGCCAGGTGGCTGAGGAATTCGCACATCCGGACGCGGCTGAAGTGTGCGCCGGGGAAGGTGACATGATCCATATCGACGGTCATGAGCGGGATGTTGGGCACGGCAGTCCATCCGACCGTGCTGTAGTCGTTAAAGACGGCGCCGACGCAAATCATGGCGTCGGCCCAGTGCACCATGGCGTCTGCGGCATCGGAGCTGACTTGTCCCCAGAAGATGCCGACGAATTGCTTGTGGTCTTCGGGGAACATGCCCTTGGCGGCGGGTTGCAGGGCAACAGCACAGCCCATGGCCTCGGCGAACTCGATGAGCTCTTTCTCGGAACCGGCACGGCCAGCTTTGGGGCCAACCAGGATGACGGGCTTGAGCTTGCCGTCGAGGTACTCGGCAGCGCACTTGGCGGCGGCCTCAAGAGCGTTCTTGTCGCTGGTGACGGGGTCGGTGATGGCGCTGATGGGGCCGGGGCGCACGCAGGTAGCTCCGGCGAGGTTGGTGGGGATCTCGATGTAGCAGGGCTTCCGGGCAAGGATGGCGGCGCGGAGGGCACGGTCGATCAGGCGGGGTGCATCGATGGCGCGGGGAATGGCCACAGCGCAGCAGGTAATCTTCTTGGCCATCTCATACTGGTAGGTGTAGTCCGGGTGGCCGAGGGTATGGTGAAGGATGTGATATTGACTGGGGTCGTTGGTGTTGGGCGAGCCGCTGATGAGGACCAAGGGGAGGTTCTCTGCGTAGGCACTGCCGGTGCCGTTGAAGGCCGAGAGGGCACCAACGCTGTAAGTGACAACGCAAGCGGAGATGCCATTGGCACGGGCATAGCCTTCGGCGGCCAGAGAGCAGTTGAGCTCGTTGGCGCAACCAACCTCTTTGAGTTCCGGGTGAGCTTGTAGCTTGTCGAGGAGGATGAGGTTGTAGTCGCCGGGGACGACAAAGTGATGGCGGACGCCGACCTGAGCAAGACGCTCGGCGAGGTAGTCGCCCACCGTGAACTTTCCTTGTTGTTGGGCTACCATGATGCTCTCTCTTTAGGGTGAGATCTGGTGGTGAAGAAGTGTTAAAGACTGGAGGTGGTAGTAGTAGTGGTAGTGTCGAAGCTGTACTTTCATGACCATGCAGAAGTCCGGTACCCAAGAGGACGGCGGGCTGCGAGAAGCCTTTTATTGTCCTGTCTTGACCACGGTGATGTGATGATTGGCTCAGAGAGCTCGTCCCGATGGCCTGCTACAGTATTGCCATTGATGATGGCTTGAGGCCATCTCCGCGATGACATGTCCCCGAAGACGCTCCGGGCGTCTCGCCATGGGCCAAGGGACAAGGAAGGTGTGCTGATGGATGCTGCATGGTGTCGTTCGTTGGGAGCAATGGCCAGACTGTCGCCAGTTGCTTGGACAGGGGGCCATCAGGACCAAGCGCAGCCACGGTCGGCTGGTGGTGTGAACATTCTGTTACGAGGTTGTGAAGTCAGAGCATGCGGGCAATGCATCATAGACAGGAGTGGGGGACCATCGATTACGACGTTGCACAGGGCCATCCGCTGCTGGGCTCCGGTTGTTCGACGTCGGTCGAGATGAAGTGTTGTAGGGAAAGATAAGCGGCTTGGTTCGGTCCGATCGATATGCAGCGAGCATTCGACGACTTGATCAGACCACCGCCGCAATCCAGGCACTCGCACCCAAGCCACACCGGCCCTTCCCATTGGCGGCTGGTGGGGTTGCGCCCCAGAAAAGCGGACCTTAACCGCGTCGGCGACATGCCAGACACAGATCGCCTCAGGCTGGCCTTCCGAGACGGCACCATCCGGCGGTAAAATTTCAAAACAGTCAGCACGATTCGGATCCGTCTGCCGAATGGCAACGTGGGCTGAGCTCATATCGGTTGTTCTGTTTGTTGAGGTTTGAGGTCGATGTGGTCAATGCTCGGTGTTGACATGAGCTCGATAACTGAAGCTACCTCAAGGCTGCCTAGGTCCCCTGAGGGTGGTGGGTGCGTTCTTGGGTCTGGGCGCCAAGGGCATGAGGATAGAAAATATGGCACATGTTTTTAGTAAGGGACGGACAGTCAGACACACGCAAACCAAATGCTGAGAAGCCTGTTAACCAACAGACCACCAATATCCATTCAATCACTTCTTTGTTGTTATTTTTTTAGATTTCCAAGAAACATAAGATAAGGCAGAAGATTCAAAAGAGAGAGTTTGCACATTGTATCATGTCAAAGTTGTCTGACTTGGGAATGAGGATTCGCCCTACTGCGACCTAACACTTCTCTCTTGGAAACGCCGCCTCAACTAAGGCAACGGAGATGAGAGCGGCCACTTCTCTACCAAATAGAATCCAAACAAGATCTTTTGAGCTCAAAAAACCAAAGCTGGTCATCGAAACCTCCGCATTTAAAAAGTATATGAGAACACAGATATTTCTGGTATAGGTTTCGTCGATGAAAGGTTTGGCGCAAGCTTTTGTATTTATACCAGATGAGCCTACTGAGTCAAACACATATGCCATATCTGCTACAGAGGTAGAGTGGGAGAGCCTTGGCGCCGAGCCAACAAAAGGCACCCACCACCCCGCGAGTACCCGTTTACTTCTGTCTGCTCAACCTCCTCCCATAATCGCGAGATGTGACAGAATGACGACCATGGAATTGACCACTTTATCGCCTTTTGGCCTGCTTCCCGATATGTTCATTCCACCATGAAACGCACACGTATTCTGAGTGTGAGGCTGCGGATTGACCGAATCACCTCGCCGTCCTACGAACCAAAGCTGATGTCGAGAGACTGAACACTTTGTCTGCCTTGTCTCCTCACCTCCTCTCTGTTTGGTACCAACATCGAGATATTTCGCCCTTCCTTGCCTGTCAGAAGCCAGCGCAATTCTGGTTGCTCATTGATGGCTGATAGCCAGGTGCTCAGCTTGATGCAATTGGGTGTTGTGGCAGAGCCGTTCAATGGGAATACTTCGGTTCGACATGGCATTCGCGCTTGGTCAAATGGGAAGCATCCGCGTTTCAGCCCTCTGGAAATCGGGCACTAAGATATTCAGCACCGCCGCAGCCCAACAGTTGGCTGACCAAATGAGTAAAATGCTAAGCCTTCGCTCACAACCCTACATGTGAGCTGGTCGAGATATCATGTATCGCTACCATCGAATGCCCGTCCAGTCTCCAACAACCTGCTCGTCTCGCTCATTCCGCTCGTCACGTCGTCCTTATGGATCCATTATCGTTCACGGCTAGCCTCATTGCCGTAGTAGGCCTAGCAGGAGAAGTCGCAAAGACCTGCAAGAGCTACATTGACGGCATCAAGAACCATCCGCGCGAAATCCGAGTGATCTTCATCGAGCTAAACTCGCTCACTTCAGTATTAGAAGGATTGAAGATATTACGCGAAGACGACTTTGAAGACGCCCAGATCATCAGACAACTAAGAGGACAAAATGGACCCATCCAAGGGTGTCAAGAAACGATTCGCAACTTACACGGTCTTCTCAAATTGAACTCGACCTCTGGCACAGCTGCACCAGGAGGCAGTCGTTCTAGGCGCAAACGGTTGCAGGCGAGGCTGCCAACTCTCGATGAACTCGCTTGGCCTTTCAGAAAAGACGAAGCAGTGGCCTTACTGAAGGCGATCGCAACACACAAGCAGACCATCGGTGCAGCTCTCACTGCATCTGTATTGTACGTATATCATAATTGCAGTTGTATACATGGTGATATCTAACTCTGATGAACAGATCCGAAGTTCAGTCGATGAAAGCGAAGCTCAATCGAGCGGAACAGGACAGACTGCATGCCTGGCTCGTCCAAATCAACCCTTCTTCAAATCACAACACCGCAAACAGTCTCTATGAGAAGAAAACCGGTGACTGGATCTTCCGCTCCCAAGAGTGGAAGCTCTGGGTGAACAAACAGTCTAAGGAACGCTCCCTTTGGATACACGGCATCCCCGGGGCAGGGAAGACCATCCTTGCCTCTCATATTATCGAGCAACTCATCAAGACCAAATGCTCGGGCAGCGTGGCACTCGTCTACTATTACTGCTATCACGGCCACAACCGCGATGAAACCTTTTCCTTCCTCCGATGGCTCATCAGCCAGCTCTGTCGGAAAACTGACACGGTCTCAAGCTTGACCTACGATATCTACCGAAGCGGCCAAGATCCCGACATAACCAAACTCCTCTCAGCGCTCCTTACGCAACTTGACAGTTTGGACACAGTATATGTCGCCGTCGATGCTTTGGATGAGAGTCAACAGCCACGAGATAGATTCCTCGACGTTCTCCGTAAACTGGCTACCGATCAGCGATTCCAGAAGATTCAACTCTTGACCACTAGCCGTGAATACGCCGACATTGAGCGAGTCATGGCTCCCATCTCCCTTTCCGTGCTTACTTCACATGAGGAAGTGGAAAAGGATATTCGGGTCTTTGTCGAAGGAAGCATCAGTCGAAGTGACAGTTTCAAGCACTGGCCCGACGATCTGAAGCTTGAGGTGATTGATGCACTTGCCAAGGGAGCAAAAGGCATGTTTCGTTGGGCCGTCTGCCAGCTGGATATTCTTCGTCGTCTCAACTGCGCAACGCACGAAGACGTCAGGGAAACGATCAAAACTCTCCCCAAGGACTTGGACGAAACCTACACGAGGATCTTGAATCTTATTCATTCAGATGATCTCGAACTTGTCCGATTCACCATCCATTGGCTCATCTACACGGAAAATCTGATCAACTACGATGAACGTTTGTTGGATGTTACCGAAGTCTTAAGCGCCTATGCGTTGCATAGTTCAGGATCCTCAGAACGGGCCAACCAAATCTCTATTCGTTGTAATCTCGACAGGCTTAAAGATTGCTGTGGTTGCCTTGTTTCGTTTTCACAGGACAGCTACCGCAAGGCGCTTCGTTGCAATCTCTCCCACTACACTATCAAAGAATTCCTGACTTCCGATCGATTCAAGCCATCAGACCAGCTCAAGTGTCTCCATCTTGCAACGATGAAGACTTACCTACCCAATGTCATTCTCCGAATGAACGTTGAGGGTCACGGATGCGCGGCCGAAGGCTATATAAGTATTCACAGTTATGAGGGCTTAGCCCGACAAGTTGTGTCCGCTGAAGAATTCTTGGATTACCAGCTGGCATTCCGTTTCTTCCTGATTAATGTGGCCCCAGACACCGACACATATTATCTTGCCAGCGATTCCCTACCCCTAGTCATGTCGACTATATATGATGGAATTGAGTGGGTTGGGGATAGACCGTCAGACGAAATCATTGTTTTACTCCGTCTTTTGGTCGTGTCAGCCTTCCATCTTTCTCGATCTCTACTTGAAACTGTCGGCAGTCACCTTCTTTGCTCATCCTTGGACTTGATATGGTATGACTATCACTTATACGGCAACAAACAGCCATTCAAGGGCAATATTGTCGAGTTTCTAGCTACCATTTTCTTCACTTCACCCGCTACGTTGTTGTTTCTACTGGAAAACTACTATGACGACTTTGCACAATCTGTCGATCTGAGTGGAATATTGCAATCTTTTCAAACCGGCCGCAGAGAAAGCCTTGACTGGTTGAGAAAATTTTTTCCATCAATCTGGAGCAACTTTGACAAGGAGGAGGAGGTCGCTGCGAAGGTAGTTCAGAAGCTTCAGAATATGGGCGCGGTTTCGATAAATGAGGATCCAGAGTCAGACTTGGAACCAAACGCCGAGTCAACGACAGAACCGACAGTAGAAGCAGGCATGGAGTCTCATGATCGGTCAAAGAGGTGGCTTGATGTTGTTTTGAGAAATGAGAGAAAAGAGGAAATCGAGTCATAAGGTGACAGTCACTCTCCTATAGCGCGACATACCAAGAGACTGGTCGATAGGGCACACAAGATTTGAACAGAATATACCCATCATCACAGCTCAGTAATGTTTCTTCACTTCTCTACATCCTGGTCATCTCTTCCTAGCGGTACTTCATCCGCCGAAGTTGGCTTTTTCTCGTCCGAACCGCCGTCACTTCCAGCCGAGCCGTGATGTGGACGAATCGTGGAGCCATCCAACGGGCGACCAACAGCATCGTGCGTGGCATCCCAATCAGCCAACTTGGCAACCGGCACCTTGACAAGTCTGTGACTCTGCGCACCATCCTCAAGTCGCAGAACCTCCTGACGAATGCGATAGCGCCGCAGCTTCGGGATCACGGAGATCCAGAGGTAGTAATAGATGGCGCATGCGATCAAGCTGGTGCCCGCGTCAGTTGACCACTCACTTTTCTGCAAATCGCGGCGGCTTTACAAGATGAAAAACAAAACCGAATTGAGGACTTACATTCCAATACCCGTGACCACATAGGTTCCGTACCAAAAGCTGACATCTCCCGCGTACGCTCCTCCCGCGGGCGGATACCACGGCATGACGATCAGGTACAGCTGCACCAAGATGTTGAACACGACTACAAGGTCCCAGGCTTTGGACTCCGGGCGGGGAAGGTTGAGCCGAGATCGTCGGTAGCGGACGACGTATAGACCTATTCCCATGATCAACTGGAAGAAGGCCGAAGGCAGTACTTGGAGATCGGTGATGAAGTTGAAGGCGTCACCAGCGGGAGGTGCCAAAATCATGAGGATAGTCAACGCCCATTTGACGAAGTACGGTCCAAGCGGAGTGCCAAAGGGGCGGGTGGAAGCCCAGAAGCGTGGGAATGGAAGCACGCCTTGCCTGTTATCACGGAAAGAATATGCGTCAGCAATCACCATGAATATGACCGAACAAACAAATCCCTCAAGACTCACCTTCCACACTCCCTAATCAACCTCGACGACCCAATCAACACAGCAATCAGATTCCCAAATGAGCTCAAGGCAATCAGGAAATTCAACCCCCTCACCGCACCACTCGACCCAAACACCTTGGTAAAGAACAGGCTCGCCGCAATCTGCTGACTCTGCACCAGCTCATCCTTGGGCACCGCGGCAAAGTACGCCACATTCGCCAGGATATACAGCACGGCCACGATGAGCAGCGCGACAAACCCGTTCCTTCTGATCTGCTTCACGGGGCTCTTCACCTCGTTGACCACGTTAAAGGCGTTTTCGAACCCAGCGTACGAGAAGATGATCTTGTATAGCGCATTGGTGACGCCATAGGGCGTTGCTTGACCAGAAAAGGCATCGCGAAAATTGACACGGGGGTCGGGGATCCGAGTGGTGGAGACATGCCCGCCTAGCACGACCAGGCCGATTATGGAAATGAAGATGAGGGTGAGGACTTTGATGATGCCGATGCCGTTGGCGAAGAGGTATGAGAGGCGGGTGTGGAAGGAGACGACTGAAAAATAAAAGGGAGCGAGTTAGCATTGAGAGAGTGGTATGGACGCACGAGTGGAAAGAGACGTACACAAAGCGGCGACCGTATACCCAGCTACAGCTACGCCTTTGAGTTCCCAAGCTGTTGGAGAATGGCCGTTTATTCTAAACAAGTACTGTGCAAGGACTGCGCGTTGTTCACGTGAGTCAGTCCAACCATTTTTTTTCCCTGAACGCTTCGGAGATGGAACAAGCAAATCACTTACCGATAGCATTACTGCTACTAAACGACAACGCCACCGACTGAAACGCAAACGCCGTCGGGAACAGCCATCTCGGTCTTGGATACGCCTGTTCCAGGTATACCACCTCAGACCCCGATCGATTCGGGAAGTACGCCGCATATTCGAGATACACCGAGAGATTCGCAACCGACGTCAAGAAGCCGAGAGCCCAGAAGATCATGGACAGACCCACGGATCCGGTACCTCGAAGAATGTTTGATGCTGTATAACCGTTTCCCGAAAGAACAAGATCGAGAAGGGACGCAATCAACACCAGCCCATGATAGTACGCACGGAAAACGCAGAGAAAGAAGGATAAGAGAAGAACTGGAGGGGTGGCTCACGAGTCGAATACACGCCTGTACCAATCATCTTGCCGATGTTGAGCATGATGATGGACAAAGGGCCGACGGAGTATCCCAGCGGAGAGTTGACTTCGACCGGCGCGCCCGTGGCTTCTTGGTAGGCAGGCGGAGAGTCGTTGCCGCCTTTTTCGACGGTGTATTGGAGACTGCCATCGCTGACGGTGCCACCATCGCCGTTGAAGGGCCCATTGGGTCGATAGTGGGATTCGCTCTTAGTACGATCATCGCCTTGCCGGCGAGTGAACGGCCGTCGCCAGTTGAAGGACATCGGTATGTTTGGATGTGAATAGACGTGGGCGGTGTTATGTTACGGCATGAAAGACAAGATGAACTGGGAACCTGTTGCTATTGTGAGGAAAGATCCGAACAACCACCAGATTCATATATGAATCCCGGCACTTCCAACAGTTCCATTCCTTTATTCTTCTCACCCCACGCTCTAGATCCCTTCACACGCCTTCTCTGCCTCAAGCACTCTCGAAGCGTCGAATGTGTGATAGCCGAGTGCCTTCGCTCGCGATAAATGGTCGATATTGCATGTCCTTGGCGGCGGCTTATATGGACAGTTATGGCTAGCAAAACCGACTTGCCATTATTGTTATCACATCGATCCAATCCCACGCCTGCCGGACGAGGAAGGTCATCACCTGCAGAGTCACAATGAGAGACATGGCCAAGGACAGCGGCAGACGGCCAAATGTGGTAGAGGTAACGCTCGTCATCTTGCCTCATCGCTTTATCATTGGCAGGCTTTTGGTATTCTTGGTGTAGTTTACAGCATGCTAAACTCTCGGTGATTGTCGTGCTTTGGAGATGGGGGGTTCGAATGGCACCATTATGGCGCAAATGGTGCTATAGGTGCGAGAAGACCCCACGCCGCGTTAACAGTGTGGCTTGGTGGTGACATTAGAGGCGATTTCTTTTCGTCTGTTGAGAAGTACTTCAAGTGAGAAAGCCACATGTGGTAGCATTCCCATGGGCAACTTCAAGGCATTCGAGAACAGTTCTATCCGGTTGAACAACAGCCTTCGTATCTGAAGACTACACATTGACTCGAAAATCCAATGTCATTCAAGGTCTAGTTATATCACACACATCAGACTACTCAAACATCCAAGTCGTCCAACCAAGCTACACTCAGAATCGACGCCTCAACCTCCCTCATCAATACCCTCCCCCACCCTGCGTCCCCACGCTTTCCCCCTTACTCGCGCTCCTAATCTGTGGCTCAAGCGGAAACACCTCCCTCTCCGGACTCACCCCGCCATACACGCGTTCCCACCGCTCCCTCAACGCCTCGGGCGTCTCCCACGCATTCTCCGGATCTCTCAACCACAACCTAACCAAATGCCTCTGCTTCTCCCCCTCATCTCTAAACCCCGCCCTCGAATGGAACACACTCAAGTTATTCACAAACTGGATATCCCCCTGCCTAAAATCCAGCGTAACCGCATACTTCTCCGCCGTAAAATGCAGCGCATCCAACGCCTCCGCCTGCGCCTCCGTAATGGGCGGGATATCCGCCGACCTCGGTAATCCCCAGTATCCCGTAAACGTGCGGCGGGCGTACTGGATAATGAGCCGTTCGGGCTTGGGCTTTGGCTTTCCTTCCCCAGAAACAGCAGCAGCAGCAGCAGTAGCAGGCTGGTAATAATGCAAAAGCGGTCGAACAGAAAACTTCCTCCCTTCCTTGCCAAACTCGTCTGCCACCCACGGCTCCGCCAGCGTGCGAATCAGATCGGGCCGAGTGGCTGCCAGCTCGTTGTACACCTTCCAGCTGCTAGACAGATAACTCTGTCCGCCCTCGGCGGCCTCCCCCAAGCAAAAGAGGGCGACGATGTCGCCTGCGTCGGTGTGGAAGACTTGTTTCTCGGTGGTGTAGGCGGGAGCACCGATTTTGCTCACGTCAGAAACAGTCGAAGACAAGTCTTTGATGTGTGCTAGGACTACGTCGGCTGGGTGGCCGTTGTGCTGGTTGTCCTGGCGGCCGCGGATGGGGGCGACGTACGAGGAGACGCCGGCGTAGATGATGATGTTTTCCTCGCGTGTGTGGGAGGTGACGGGGAGCCCGCGGAGGACTTTGAAGCCGTGGCCGTGGTGGAGCTCGTGGGAGAGGGAGCGGAGGGTGTGGTGTAGGCGGGCGAGGGGGAAGGTTTCTTGGTTGATGTATCCTAGGGGTTTGTTGAGGCCTGTCATGCGATGACGGTTAGTTGATGGCTTGATGTCCAAGGACTGGTACGAGAGATGCCCTCGGGAGCTGGCTGTACTAACTCTTGAAATGGCGAAGTGCGGACTCGATTTCATCAATGTCCTCTTCTGTCAATCTGTAGTTCCAGTCGTAGGTCTCGGCCAGGGTGTTGCCGTCCCACACAAGATCCGAGTCTAGTCTTTGAGGGAAATCTGGCGGAAGAGACGACTCCAACTTTTCGTTTTCTCGTCGTCTTTTGACTCTTGCGAGGTACTTGTCATGGTCAGGAGCGTACCCGATATCTGGTTGTCCGACCGGAGCTGGGACTGAAACCTGAATGGCTGCCGTAGCCATGTTGCGTTGATAGGAGGCTTGATCCGGAGAAGTTGAGATTTTTGATTTTGTTTGGAAAGGCTTTGCTTTGGAAACTTTGGGGGTGTCAAGGGAATTGACAGTTTTGCGCTTTTCATCCGCATCCAAGGAGAACCTCTTTACATTTATGAGGTCGCGGTGGACAAGTTGGCGATGACCTCATGTTTGTGCTATTTGGCGTGATGGTGGAATGGTGGTGATGGTAGGTGATCAGCCGTGCGAAGGAGCGGGGAAGACGCATCTCACTCGCGCAATGCATTTTTCAGATGTCGCCATTCCACCATCCTCCATGCCACCATAGTCTTCAAAGTTGAGGTGTTGCTCAAACCGCCATCCATTTACCACTTCAATACCTTAAGTACCGTTAACTGTTTTTCTTTGGCTTTGGTCCTTTTGTCATTCAGTGGCTTGAGACACTGCCAATCATCCCAACGAGATAGGGCAAAAAGCATGATACGTTACCTAACTCAATGATGTTATATATTCACAACCTGCGATGATCTACATTGGCGATTTGGATGAGCGGCCTGAAGAAGTTGACGAGAGTCGTAACGGAAGCAAAGAAGTCAGAAAAAAAGAGCAAAAAAAAAACGAACAACTTTCCCCTCGACCGGAATCGAGCCGGTGACCTTTCGGTATACAATCTCGCAATTACAGCCGAACGTGATAGCCAACTACACCACAAGGGGATTACTTGTTGTTATTGTTGGAGTTAGCTCGTCGATTGTCAAAACTATAAGCAACAGAAAGAGTCTTGCTTTGCGTAATCATTTCTGTACGGTGGCTGTGAAGGCTTTTTGCACACAGTATGAACCCGAACAAAATGATTTCAAAAAGTGATGGCCCACAAGCCAGCCAGCTCCTTGTCAGTGGCAGGTGGGGCTTCTTGAAAGCATGACAGCTGCTTTGAGGCCGTCATGGGATTAAGGGGTAAGTAAACAAATGATTACACTGGTATCGTCCAGGACACGGCGAAGATTCACAATAGACAGATCGTAAGCTTGATTTGAACTGCAGCTTGAATATGAATAGCTAAGAGTTTCAGAAATACCTCAAAACCAGGAGTTTGCAACCTCCCTTAGGGCAACGCAAACCTAGTTTGGTCCAAAGAATGAGGTGGTCGAAGACTTTGTAAAGGTTGTTGTGGCGCAAGCTTTGTCCCGCCCACAACCATAATGAGTGTTTGCAGAATCGAAAAGAAAATGAGAAAGATGGAAGTTCCCGCTGGCCAAGCGGGAAAAGAAAACAGATAAACGGACACTCAATCGAATACTTATGAAACAAAAGATCCGTCAAGAGCTCAAGATCATCCCTCACCTCACCCCCTTGCCTGCCCGTCCGCCCCGTCCGCCACGCACCTTTCCGCTCCCTCCTTCCCCGACAACTATCCGTGTCGTCCCATCCAATCCCTTTCCTCAGCCCAGCATCAAGCCCCTCACAAGTTTCTCAGTTCCCCCCGGCATGCACCACACACCCCAGCCAAGTCCACCTGCCTTTAAAAGTTTAGGTTGACTCTCTCCCAGTTCCCAGTATCCAAAGCCCCCATACCTAATGGCCTTCGTAGACCCTCAAACCCAATCCCAACTCCCCTGCACCACCCCCACACTCGTGCTCGCCAACACCGAAAACGCCGCCGGACTCAAATCCAATCCACCATACGGACACCCGGCGCATCGATCAACCAGCGTGACCGTGACGCTCCTGCCGTTCGCATTGACTTTGATCCGGCGGCCGCAGAGCGAGTTGCGGTTCGGGTTGCCGTTGGGCGTGGACGGGTCGAATTGGTCGTGGTTCAGCGCGACGACAAGTTGGCCGTCATTGGAAACAGTGCCGCAGGCGCCGAGGCCGGTGTTGTACCAGGTTATACGGGAGGAGAAGGAGCGGGGGTCCAGGGTTTCGGTGGTTTGAGACTTCGCGGATCGCGATGGGGGTGTCGGGGGCTGGGGCTGGAGCGGCAAAAGTGAAGCCGAAGGAGAGGATGAGAAGGGAGAGGGTGCTGGTGAGGATGGGTTGGAAGAGCATTTTGACCTTGCTTTAGAGTGCTTGGCTGCTTGAGAAAGACTTGGTGTTGGTGGATCAGAGTTGCTCTTTTGGCTTGACCTTCAGGAGCAGGCTGAACTTGGCTATGGAGGTGGGTGCCTGTGTTTGAAGCTCGAGTTGAGAGACTCTGGTTGAGGTTATCGTCATGGCTTTATATGCATCTTGAAAGCACTTCGACTACCTCTACGACTCATTGACATTGTCATTATCTGAGAGAGTGTGGTCATGATACCATGAGCGTTCAAGTTTCAAGCCACCAGACATTCTATCAACGCCGGACGGCACAAGATGAGGGGAAGAAGAAAGAGTTTTTCAACCATCATCACCAACGAGCCGCTCAAATATCGACTATTAACTGCGGGCAGAACATTTCCCCGAAGCTTTACATTGTTTAATAGTAGGGCTGATAGAGAAATTTGGCTAGCTTGGAGCGCCATTGAGAAGTTATATATTAAAAAGAGGGGAAAGTGTTCCGCGATTCATTATCACATTCCTTTCCCCGGCTTCGAGAGCAATCCATGCTCGCTCACATGGGTGGTTTCTATGCATCGCCGGACGTCTTGGGCCGCGGCACGGGTGGCCATTCGATGCGGCAGGTAACTGTTTGAGCTTGAGATATGGAGTAGAAGCGGAATGTTTGCATGCCGTTTTTTTCATATCAGCACTGTGGACGATGTCAGTCTCCAACTTACACTTAGATAAGCAGCAGCAAAGAATACCTATAAATGTAAAAGACTGCCCGATTGTTAGCCAAGATGTGAGCTTCTAAAATCACAAGACGGAATTGGGAGGCCTGCTGCTTGGTGTTGGGCTAGGATCTGTATGGGTCCAAAGGTGTTTGTTGAAAGAGAAAACAGGGTCAAACTATAAGCAGGGTAGCTCGAAGTGTGTACGGAGAGCGGGGAAACGTTCATAAACATCAGGCATTACAGTCCCTGACCAGGAGCGGGAGCTACATCAAAGGGCTTCTTGACTTGGGGAGACTGGACGTTTTGATGAGTTTGTGCATAACAATTGGCATCAGCCGCCTTTTGAGTCAACACTGTTGAGACATAGGAAGGGGAGAGCGAGAGAAGAGCAACCGAGGGCGTGAACATGTGCCTCAAATCCGACTCAAACATCCCGATGACTGACCATGCAATACGGACTCGGGAATTTCCTCTTCGGTGGACAAGTACGGTTCTCTTGATTAGGGTAAAACTGCAGACATACTACAACCTCATAACCATCACTCAGCGCGCCTCAACTCTTCCTTTGTTCATGGTGCGTAGAGCCCCATGCCTCAGTTCTAAACTTTCTCAGCCCAACCAAGCGTGCTACTCTTGGCATTCCAAACCGTGTAATAAGCCTTGATTAAAGGGCTTCCAAACAACCACAGCCGACGGCCCTCGATAGGCTCAATTAAGGGAGGATCCCAGTGAGAAAACGCCGCCTGACACACCCCCTTCTTGCCAGGATACTCACCCAGGTTAAATGCACTCTTCGGCATAGTCACTTCAATCACCTCGCCTCTGGTTTTCGTCCCGATAGTGAACGTGATGTCCGTCGCCACTTCATCCAGCGTAGCACAACTCGCACCCCATGATCCCCTATCATTGAGGGGGACGATGTCCTTGGAAATGCCCGAGTAGAGATTCTCGGCTGCTTGTTGGTCAGGAGCCAGCATGTAGGCGGTCCCTGAGTCGATGTAAGCAACCCCTGGCACGAGTGGCTTGTTGCCGTTGGTTGAGTTGGGCCATACTCGCTTGTTATTTCCGGAGCCGATGTAGGCAGCTTGTACATCTAGTGTAAACACACCCGAGAGAGTGGTGAGCATTTCATCGACACTGACGTTCTTGATACGGCCATGATAGCGCGCATCGTCGACGCCGCCGATGGAGGCTTCAGGACCGCGCTGTTGCTGGTTCTGGCCACCAGACCCGAGGGCAAGGCCAACGATCCTGTTTGAGAGCTGCCCCTCACTGACGAGGTTGGGGAGAAAGGGGAGATAGGTAAAGTTCCCGCTTTCGTCCCAAGCCGAGATGTCAGCAGGACCAATGCCGAGGATTCCGTCGGCAAGTTGGGAAGACAGAGTCTCGCCGTAGCTATGACAAAGCAAGAACTCCTGTTTGGGGGCAGAAAGACCCTGTATCGAGACGGTGTCGGTGACGACTTCGCATTCTGCTCGGCCGGTTTGATTGAGCGGGATAGTGTCTGCACCAGTGCCGTACTCGATGGGTCGAAAAAGTGCAGGTTGGGGCGAAAATGATGTGGATTTGGATGGGTTAAAGAGCGAGTGTTTGCCGCAGTTGGTGCAGTTGTTACGAGGAAGGACAAGAGCGGTTGATCCAGTGTCTACAACGACTTTACTATGGATGGTGACGTTAGCCGTTCCCTTGTTCTGCATGGGGATGCTGTGTTAACTTACAACGTCTGAGGAGGGGTGCCGACCGTAATGGTTGCCATCCATTGGAGTTCGGTTTTGCCGCTATTCCTCGAGTCAACTTCCAACGGTACTCTTGTAAGGCTTTTCTTCCCGGTCTCTCGTCGACGGTCTGACGAGCGATGCTTGAGACCTCCCTCGAGATGGCCAGTGACTGGCTGGCTAGGGCAGAAAGCCGTTGTGCTTGTGAACAGCAAGCTGGCTATAAGTGGCATCAGGGACTTCATGGTGATAGAATGGAAGGATAGTATCAATGAAGATGATATGAATATACGTAGGAGGGGAATGATAATGACTCGATGAAAGGATCAAGCAGAAAGTTTGTGCTCTTTTTATTCTTAGTCTCACCCCTCTTCGTTTAGTCCCAGCGTGACTGAAAACCTGATGTTGATCAGATGAAACAGAAATGCGGAAACAGCGCGACCATGACTATTGCCAATCGTAAAAGCTTGCTACGTCGTTTTGGTGAAACAAGCAGCCAGGACCCGAAGCTACTGGCTAAGCCATGGATAGCAGCAGCCAGGTTGAGTTTAGACATATGGAGCAGCATGAACCATGGTGGTGGTGTCGGTACGCGTGGAGCTAGGTACCTTTCCTTCCGGTCATGATTAAAATTGATCATGGATATATTTGTTGTTGTTCCCCAACGACAGTTTCGTTACTCCATTGCAGAGACCACTTTCTGCCAGTCTCGAGTAGGGATGTTGTGTGTAATGAGGCGTACACATCTCGGCTCGGGCAGCTGCGCCTTGGGGGAACCATAGCTACCGCCAAATACCAATGATCTCATCGAAGGCCAGCTCGTATGTGTAAATTGTTGGTTGTGCCATGCCATGACTACCTAAAGGCGTCACGCCAAGGCATGTGAGCGATTATGTACGAATAATCTCTGAGTCCTGGTACGCTGTTAGTCCGAACTGAGCCGTCAGAACAATCACGCTTAGGTGTCCTGTCAGATCGGGAATTTGTTGGGAAAGGGTAGGATGAAAAGGCTTGTTGGGGAATATTGTCTCCGATCAATTTGTGTAAGCTACGAGTCGAGCAACTGAGGTCCCGTCTTCACTTTGTGTCGGATGAAGTTTCCAAATAGGTCGAAGTCTGGTTTTCAGAGATCACGAACTCGAATGACCTGGATCAGTGAATATTTGGAAAGTTTGAACACCGCAACGGAAGAGAGAGAGAAAATCATGATGGTGGGCGACGATCTCCATCCGAACTTTGAAGCATCTACCCGAATAGTTTGGCTCCGTGCTGCCTTTCATGTTGGTGGCAATGGCGGATCACCGAGGTTCTCGACCATTCAAACACCACAAACGCTCTTGCCGTCTCGACCAAGTCACGGTCATACTGTCACACAACTCCCCCACGACAATTACAACTCACTAGTCGTACTTGCTCGGTCGGAAACAAGGTGAGGACGTCGACACCGAGAATGGCAGGTCTGACCGGTGAGAAAGGAGCCTTAAGAACAGCCAGGCTGTCGGCTTCGGTTGGAAGCTCAGAGCCCGGATCCGTGAACTTGGTGTCCCGTATTGTTCGGTGCCGAACCTGATTCTCAGCAAGCCGGAAACATGATCATGAAGATTTACTTCTACTGGTGTGTGCTGCTTCTTGTCAGCTCCACGTCCGCCTTCGTGGATCGGGCTTTGAAGTTGGGCAATCAGGACCCGTCGTCGTAAGTCGCTATCCAAATGGATGCCTGGGTCATCCGCTAACCAACAATTCGAGTAGGCCAGCCAATCTCGCTCCTCCGCTCCTCACATCGACCATAACCGTGACCCCAACCGTCATTGCCACATCCTTGGTGCAAAACATCTTGCCAACCACCATCACCGTCACATCGGGCGTCAGCAACATCATCCCCAACATCCCGCTCCCCTCTTCCTCCTCAGCCGGCACTCAGCAACAACCATCACCCGTCCCACCGAGTAGTCCCTCCCACGGACCTCCCTCTCCTCAGTCTCCCGTCCAAAACGCCCTGCCCATCCCTTACAACTGTGCCAGCCCCGTGCCTGGCCTCTCCCCCCCGGACTGCACCTACCTCTCCACCATCGGCGTCATCTCACAGGGACAAAACGCCCTTTCGGCCGCCTCAGGGACCGCGGGCATCTATCTCGGCACCAACGGTCCCAACACCTTCTCCTTCATCAACGGGGCCTCGGTGCCTTTGATCCTGGTGGTCTGGTACAACCCCGTAGAAGACGCACAATCCTCGTTCATGGACGCGCGCACCCCCAAGATCACGTACTCGCTCCCTGCGCAGGGCAACGCGGTGGTGGTGTCGATGGATAACGAGGTTCCCGGCGGCTGGTCGACGCTGTACAACTACACGACGACACTGACGGAGTACGGGCAGGTGAACAATACGTTTGGTGAGTTCAACACGGGCTCGTTTGCCACGACGGATGTAAGTCGGCTGGTGAACATGCAAGGGCATCCGATGACGGTGGTGGTCAGGGGAAGCGGGTGTCGGTCGGATATGCAGACTTGTGTGTACACGTGCAGTGAGCCGGGGGCCGTTACATGCGGGAGGCAAAGGAGTTATAGATTGGAGAATTGCCAGGGCCAGCCGGGGGCGGTGGTGAGTAATGACGCGAATGGGAATCCGACGGGTGGATGTCAGGGCTGGAGTAATGGGGGGCATGTTGATGTCATTTTCACTTGATGTGCCAGCGGAAGAGGGACGAAGTAGGGGAAAGGACTGTGAAATGTTAGACGAAGCTTCATGCCATGTAAGAAGGAGGGAAAGGTATCGGCGTAGATGATGGTTGATGGGTCCAGTTAGCATGGCAGGACGTCCCGTACCCGAAGAAACGTTGATTTTCCGTGAAAGATGGAGATGCCCCAAGTAGACTGCATCTGTCAGACATGCATTAACAGCGTATACCCGGTCCCTGCATGTAACTGAAGTCTCGTCTCGATATGGTCCACCCTCTGATCCCGTCGTCCTCCATCACTTCCATTGCACCTCACACTTAAGAGAACTAAAGGCTGAACTCCAGCCTATTCCCCGCATAGTCCCTCGCAAAGAATCTCTTTGGGTACTCCACCCCCTGATGACCTACAACTGCGTTAGCATCAGCCCAAATACCCCCTTTGTCCCCCCTATCTCCTCCCCCCCAAAAAAGAAGAAGAAAATAGATAACTCACCACTCCCCACCGTCCCCGGCTCATCACACTCCATCGGCGCCCCTTCCCCTCCCCGCTTATAATGCTCCCAAATCCTCTCCTGCAGTTCTTTCAGTTTCTCCGCGTTCCCCACTCGGAAGCAAGGGTGTCTATCGGCATTTCTAGCCTCGGGCGTGAAATCGATATCGGGTCGACCTAGCGCAAAATGCAGCTGTTGTTGTTGTTGTTGTTGAACACCTGACTCTTGCAAAGAAAAATCGAACCAAGCCAAGGTGCCTTGTTGCAAAGCCGGGACGGGCCGGGGAATAAGGCCGAGGGTGGTGCCGTAGAAAGAGGTGGCGAGATGCAAGGTGGAAGGGGGGACGAGGATGTTTACCTGGTGGTGGTGAGTATGATATGTAAGATGGGGATGGGGGTGGGGATGGGGATGGGGGTGTTGTGAGTGAAAGAAAAGGCCAAAAAAAAAAAAAAAAAAAAAAAAGATGAAATAAGAGGTGGTGGGGGAGGAGGAGGTAAGTTAGGGAGAAAGGAAGATGGGATGGGATCGATCGATCGAATGGAATGATAGAGGAGGACAGGGACTACGAACGTGATGAAGTCCGGTAATCATTATGGCGGATTTGATTTGGAGAGTGTCTTCAGCTTGAGGGGGGTGTGAGGCTGCTGTTTGCTTATATGAAGTCTATATGTCAAGGAGATGATGAATGGTAGCAAGTTGCTATTGTGAAAGCATACATTAACGACCACATAAATGTCGTAGAGTGATGGTGGTGATGAAGATGATGATGATGATGGATAAAGGTATCCGGTTTCAGCTTCAGGTTGGACAGAGTCACACTGCGGGGTCCTCATCGCCATTGGAGAGACCTGCGTCGTGCTTTTGATCTGCACACTAGGATAATGCACGATATGATGGTGCACTACAGTCTGGTGAGTATCACGGCGTTGGGTTACCTCCGAAGCCTTGCTTGGTTGAGAAGACATGGAAATTTGTGTTGGTGTGACCGCCCCAGGTTCGGAAACAAAGGCCTTTTTGACCTGTTCTGAAATCTCTACCTAGGCTGCTAAAACGGTTTTTGAGGCCATACTGCCGGTATTAGTGAGATGTCGCCATTAGTTCTAGTAGAAAAGAAAAGATGCCTATCAAATAGGCAGTAGAGCGTGAAACATTAGTAACGAAGACAGGCACCATGGTCGAACATATCACAGACTTTTCCCTCCCTCTTTTCGCTTCATACGTTTTGCCCAGACCAGCAACACGTTCATCATCAAACATCCTTGGTCGCCGCATTACCTTTATGACGGGACCTTAGGTCCTCTACTGGACAATAGGTGCTTTGCCCAGTGTCTTCAAGTCCGCGCCCTTGCCACCATACTCAGCAGGGAGCTTGTCGCCCAACCCGTCGACCTTGGTGTTGACAAACTCCTTTGCAAGGTTTGTGCCGCTAGACATGGGATGGAACTTATTCAACGTCTTTTTGGAGACAAACATTTTCATGAGGCCGTAGAAGAAGCCCATGATGGCAGGGATGTTAAGGAAGAACTTTTCCTTGAGCAGCTCGGGGTAGTTGTCGCCCAACACCTTGATACACTCTTTGCTGGCCGCCTTGGCCACGTCGGTTTGACGCAAGAAACTGATGCCCTTGTAGTCATGGACCTGAGTCATCTTGTAGGGGTCGTAGTCGGCCGTGATGGGCTTGATGGCCCCCCCAATGTTGATTTCCATAAGACCAAGCTCCATGAGGGCAACACGCCACTCCACAAACCTTTGGAGCACCAAGCGTGAGCGACATGACAAGCGTAAAGCAGACAGCAGGGATGGAGAAGGTGGTATGGGACTTACTCTTGAAGGTTGCCAAAGGTCTCGTCGAGAGACTTGACACTGCCGTAGAGGTTCCAAGTGAACACCTCCTTTTGCTCGGGCTCGTCGACAGCAGGCTCGTCGCCGGCTGTGTAGGTAGTGACGTAGCCCAGACCATCAAACTTGGCCTTGGAAAACATCTTCCTGAGCAGCTGCTGAGGCTGTGTCTTTTGGCGCCAGTCGAGCGTCTTGAGCAGCTGATCCTTGGCCTTTTCGACTTGTCCATCGTTGGCATTTAGGAATTTCTGGAAAATGATTTGGGTCGGGATGTGTCTCTCGGGGTCCGAGAGGGGGACGCCCCAAATCTCGAAATGGGGATGGCCCTCGGCAGCCTTCCACAGCTGGACGAGGGGAGGAAGCTCACCCGCTGTTGTTGACACCGAGTCCTTGACATCAGCGGGAGAGTCGGTGTCTTGAGCGGGGGCAGCGGCGGGTTTGGGCTCGTTGTCGACTGGTGCTGTCGGCTGGGGTTCAGTGGGATTGACTACTTTCGGTTCCTCTTCGGTGTGTTTGGCAGCATCTGGTTCGGATCCGGTGACAGTTGGTGTATTCTCGTTGCCGGCGTCAGTGCTGACGGCAGCCGGAGTGGTTCCAGGCTCCGCATTGTCTGAGGGTTGAGTGCTCATCGTGCTTGTGGATGAAATGGAGACCGATGACGTCGAGCTATCGTTGAATAACGAGCTGGCCAAAACCTCTTTTGTTGTTGAGGGGTGTTGACGGCAAACAGGAGACTCGAGAGCGCGCCAAAGCTCGTGGCGTGATTATTCGAAGTTTGGGTGTTTTCCGTTTGATGAATGATGTTTGAAGGGGAAAGATTGGACGAAACAGGAGATAAGGTACCTTAAGCAGCAACCTGAAGGGAAAACGTGGTCCACGTGGGGGGCTTGGGGGGCTACGCGACGGTTCCATGTTGATCAGGAACTGTGCGGGGGGGTAACGGGCCTAACCGCCGTTAGCTTCAGGGCAGCGCCACACTGTAGCTCAGTGGGCTAGGCAGTGGCTGATGGCCTGGGTTCCTTCCCGTATCATTTCTTCCCGTCTCATTCCATGTCCCAACTGCCACCACTTTCTCTTTCACCTTCACATTGAAAATGTCACCGACCCTTCATTCTTCGCCCATCCGCACTTATATTCGACTGGCTTCCCAGGCAGTTTCCCGGTGACTGACTGTTCATGTTATGCTAAGTGGCTCAGCTCCCTGACTTATACTTCCATGTCCGCCTCAGCTGTTTCGCTTACTCGGTCCAAGGTGCTGTGAGTACCTCTACGTCACCCCATACATTCTGCCAGACTGAGAAAGTCCATCAGGCTAATGACTTTTCTAGTCATCTGAGCTCGGGTGATGTCTGCCGGCAACGAGGCCCTCGCCTCACCCGACGTCTGTCTGCGCTCCATCTCCGACGTCCTGTCTGTCCTGTGGGTGGCTGAAGCACATCCGACTGCATCTCACTGGCCCATGGGCTGTCGATACGTGCTTCAAAGGCTTCTGAGCATAGAAATCGTCTGAGCCATGTCATGCAAAGCCACACTTCGGACGTCTCCGAGTTAATGACTTGAGCTGGTGACATGTATTCGGATGATGGAGAAACGAAAGGGCTGGCAACGCAGGGTTAAAGGTCTGCCAGTTGCATCGACAACCACGTACCTACATACAGCCAAACGCCCATGGCAGAATTCCAACCCTGCGTTGCCGGACCGTTCCTCGTTTTCGAGCCGAGTTTTTTTTTTTGGTAGGTACAGAGTTACACGCAAAACTCCGGTCTCGGGATTCGCCAGAATCCACCAGTCGAGCGAATCCAGCATCACAGACTGATCACCACCAAACCCAAACCAAAACCCTTCTAGGTTGCCTTCATGACATTGCCATTGTTTGAGGCTGACAGCCTTTGCCAGATCGCGAAACCGAGTTTTGATTCAAACAGCACATGTGAACAAAAGCTCCAGGCTACTCAATACCCGTTGTTGTCGCGAATCCTCTTTCCTCGAGCTTCACTCGCCTGTGATGTATATGCGACCTGATTAGCTTCGCCCCTGGGTCATGGTACAGCCTTCTCGTTCCCTGCGCCCACGATCTAAGCCTCAAGAGTGACCTCACACTTCGTCGCCCTTGAAATCATTCTCACGAAAGAGTGCATGTCAAGAGTCACATATATTGCTCCCCTATACCCTCTCGATGGGCTTTCTCCTCGGATCAACCATTCGGTTTTACACTCAGACGGACCAAAGGCTCCAACAAGCGTGCGAGCTCTACTCTAGCACACAATAGCCAGGCGTCTGACTGATGTCGAGACTCGCTAGCGACCCGAACTAACACACAAGTCGGCAGATGAAGGGCCAGATGTCGCGAGGTACATGGCCCTACGTGCACTTGGTTGCATGGCCTTCGAAACGGAGCACTTCGGTAGACACCCATCAGTCAAGCTCTCATTTTGGAAATACTAGGCATACCGTGCCAATGATCAGAGCGAGCTGTCTTATGAGTGCTCGTCTCTGCACAAGTCCTTTCCAACATCACTTGAAAGCTCGGGTCCGCCACGCATTGGTCGGACGTAGTGGCTTTGAAGGCACCGGCCGTTCCTTCACCGGGCTGCGCAATTCATCAACTGTCTGCGCTAGAGCAAGTCATGGTTCGCGTAGTTTCGCGGCCGTCCTGGCCACCTCGCCTTATTATGACACATGATGCGCAGATCACGCACTGGTGAGAGTAGACTGCAGGAAACAACGACCCCCCCCTGAGTCTTGCGGAAGCGATGTCGAGTTATATGGGCTAGTTATAAACAATCCATGGTTGTTGAACTCACTGATCCTCATGTCTCGTCCCTGTTGGTATCCATGTTACCCGCCGGGCTTGTTATATGCCTGGTGATCCTCTCCCTACCCCAGGCCCTTCACCTTCAACCGACGCATCCGCCAGCAAAGCCACTATCCGCATTTCCTTACATTCCGGGATGAAGTCAGCGCTTGGTTGCGTGTTCAGTGCCCTTGCGGCGAGTGTGTCTTCCTCCTCTCTCCATGCTCTACGGCAAACACCACCACAACTCGACTACCACCTCCTTCCTCGGGCCGCATGTGACAACACAAACAAATCACGAAGCTGCTGGGGAAACTACTCCATCGATACGAACTATTACGATGAAACGCCGGACACGGGAGTCACTCGCGAGTATTGGTTGTCGGTAGAGGAAGGAGATTGTGCGCCAGACGGCTACGCTCGCCAATGTCAAACGATCAATGGGACGGTCCCGGGTCCTACCATTTTTGCCGACTGGGGTGACAGTCTGATCATTCATGTTACCAACAACTTAAAGTCCAACGGCACAGGCATCCATTGGCATGGTCTTCGTCAATCGGGTAGCAACATCTACGATGGTGTTCCAGGGATCACTCAATGCGCCATCGCTATCGGGCAGTCCATGACTTACAGGTTCAAGGTTAGCCAGTACGGGTCAACCTGGTACCACAGTCACTTCAGTCTACAGTACGCGAACGGTGTTTTTGGTGGCATGATCTTCAACGGACCCGCGACTGCCAATTACGACGAGGATCTGGGCCATCTCTTTCTCTCCGACTGGTCCCATGTTGATGTCTTTACTCGGTGGTTTGCCGCCCGGAATGGTCAGCCTCCAGCCCTGGAAAGTGGTCTCATCAACGGAACCAACAAATTCGACTGCAGTAACTCATCAACGGACCCGAATTGTACCGGACGTGGAGTCAAGTTAACAACTGTGGTTGAGAAGGGCAAGAAGTACCGTCTTCGCTTGGTCAATGCGGCTGTCGATGGTGTGTTCCAGTTCAGCATTGACAAGCACAAGTTGAAGGTTATCGCTGCTGATCTTGTTCCCATCAAGCCCTACAGCACCTCCAGCTTGAAACTCACCGAGGGCCAGCGGTACGATATCATCTTCCATGCCAACCAGGCAGTGGACAACTACTGGGTACGTGCCGGGTGGTTGAACGCTTGCCAGCCAAATGTAAACCCCGACAGCATCACCTCGGTCCTTCGATATAATGCCAGCAGCACATTGGACCCGACCTCGACCAGTGATGTCACCGTCAGCAGCGATTGCCTTGATGAACCTCTGGCATCGCTTGTCCCCCATCTCAAGATGGATGTCACCAATAT